TTATTTTTTCTTCTATGCATCCAAACAAAACCTTAGACCTTTTTATCCTTAGATTTGTGTAAATTTTTGTTTTCCAATTATATTATTTTTCATTATTTTTTTAAAGTGAAACACTTGGCTATTAAAAACAAAATTAATTAATAAAGATAACACGGCATCATGCGAATATATTTATTAATTACTTGGGTAAATTACACTCGCACCCTTTAAAATTTTTCATATTGACATGCTTATATAAGTTGGCCTATTGTTCTAACAGTGACACCCCCTCACGTTTGATAAAGTTAACAAATACACCACTGGCCACTTCTGACACGTGGTGAATTGACGTTATTTTCTTTTGACTTGTTAGTTAACCTATTTGAATCATGGAATTACCTTTATAACCTTTTTAAATTATTTTATTGGACTAAACCAACCTTCTCTACTATTTACTTCATTCTTTATCAACCAAACTATATATATACAAGGAAAGAGACTATATATATACAACATACATATATATAACTTTACCGATAAGATACCATTCTTACCAACTATATATATATATATATATATATATATATATATATATATATATATATGTTATGATAAAATCCTTACAGATTTAAATAGATCCATTTACAAATTACTTTAATCTTCATCTCTCTATAATAGTAATTGTGAGAGGCAATGAATGTCTTAGTAATTTAACATTAGTAAAAGGGATGAACTTAGTTTCTTCCATTTATTACAAAGTCATAACTAAAAATAATAATAACATATGCATTCAGTGCATTAACTAAGAAGACATATGCATTCAGTGCATTAACTAAGTATTAGCTTTTATTTTGAGACCATGGAACTGTTTAGACTAATATATTACTTGTCTATGCATTCATGATCCACTATTGAGGAAATTTATGGAGGAGAGTGTTCTAACGTTTCAATATATTAATTTCGATAATTGTGTTTTCTAAATAAAAATTAGTGGCCACTCGACTTTTATAAAGTGCGTTGCAATCCATAGTGCCATTTTATAAAACTTAGAATGTATGGACTAAGTGGGAGATTGTTGGAATTTGTATATTCATATATTTAAATAATAAAAATTATTTTATGGTCCTATGCATTACATTTTCTAAAGTAGAATTGCAATGTGATTATTGATACTTGATGGATTGGGTTGTACTTTCTAATTTGGTGGTCTAATTGGGAGTATGGTTTTTATACTGTTGGATTGTGGTTTTCCAACTTATTTGGTGTGATTTAATTTTAACCATTAATATCTAAGTTTCCATGATAGAAAGAGAAACTTAGGTATGCTTGTTTATACAGAAGCCGTCCCCCCCTATTGTTATTAATATATAATGGTTTTAAAACCCTTATGCAGACCCATCGTATCGACACTAAGGAATTCCCAAAAGGTATCTAAAGTTTAATCTTCTAATCAGGTATGATATCAAAATCTCTCTTTAATTGATAATTAATTTTGATTTCTATATGTTATTTATTATTTAAACCCAACAATTTATCCCTAGTAACCTCTTCTTTTGTTTTCGCTTCCGCATTTCAAACTCGATATCGGGTCAGGTTTTGGTCTTCTTAGTTAATGCACTGAATCATGAGATTTGGGGCATTACAGTTTAAGTAGTATTTTATAATTTCAAAACTGTCCTAAACAATTAGAAGATGGAAATTGTATATATTTACTTACCCACTAATTAATTTACGACAAAAATATTCGAAGCAAATCATTGAATCTGTAAGATATATATTTTTTATAAAAGATTTTGACACTAGTCATGATTAGTTAATATATGTAACCATGCATGCTTATTATAATATTTATGTCAATATTGATTAAATAATGTGTGAGACAAATAATACCATTTTAACAAGTTTAAGTATATATATATATATATATATATATATATATATATATATATATAACACCCTTGAATAAGATATAATGTTTTTTTAAAAAATTAATAAATAATAGTTGCACAATCACTAATACTTAAACCGCTATTTTTCAATTCTTTCTAATTAATATGTCTTCTGCTATATAATCGTTTATTTCTCCTTTCTAATGATGTCATTGTGATTATCATGCTACCAATTAGAACAATAAATCATATTATTTGATAATAAAATGCTAATGAGTTTAGAATCCATTAAAATGTTGGGAATAAATGTACGACTTATACTCCATTTATACTCCGTAGTAAAAATTGAATGCATATGTTATTATTATTTTTAGTTATGACTTTGTAATAAATGGAAGAAACTAAGTTCATCCCTTTTACTAATGTTAAATTACTAAGACATTCATTGCCTCTCACAATTACTATTATAGAGAGATGAAGATTAAAGTAATTTGTAAATGGATCTATTTAAATCTGTAAGGATTTTATCATAACATATATATATATATATGTAGTTGGTAAGAATGGTATCTTATCGGTAAAGTTATATATATGTATGTTGTATATATATAGTCTCTTTCCTTGTATATATATAGTTTGGTTGATAAAGAATGAAGTAAATAGTAGAGAAGGTTGGTTTAGTCCAATAAAATAATTTAAAAAGGTTATAAAGGTAATTCCATGATTCAAATAGGTTAACTAACAAGTCAAAAGAAAATAACGTCAATTCACCACGTGTCAGAAGTGGCCAGTGGTGTATTTGTTAACTTTATCAAACGTGAGGGGGTGCCACTGTTAGAACAATAGGCCAACTTATATAAGCATGTCAATATGAAAAATTTTAAAGGGTGCGAGTGTAATTTACCCAAGTAATTAATAAATATATTCGCATGATGCCGTGTTATCTTTATTAATTAATTTTGTTTTTAATAGCCAAGTGTTTCACTTTAAAAAAATAATGAAAAATAATATAATTGGAAAACAAAAATTTACACAAATCTAAGGATAAAAGGGTCTAAGGTTTTGTTTGGATGCATAGAAGAAAAAATAAATGAAATGATAGCATTAGTTATAAGAGAAAATAAATGAAATGAAATGCTAAAAATAATCTCTATTCATGTTTGGATAGATATGAGAGAAAAGAAACGAAATGATTGTGGATAAGATAGAGGGGAGAAGAGAAAAAAAATGATAACAACCAAATTACTATCATACCCTTTTAATTAGATTGGACATGAGTAGAATAACAATTTCCATCTTCTAATTGTTTAGGACAGTTTTGAAATTATAAAATACTACTTAAACTGTAATGCCCCAAATCTCATGATTCAGTGCATTAACTAAGAAGACCAAAACCTGACCCGATATCGAGTTTGAAATGCGGAAGCGAAAACAAAAGAAGAGGTTACTAGGGATAAATTGTTGGGTTTAAATAATAAATAACATGTAGAAATCAAAATTAATTATCAATTAAAGAGAGATTTTGATATCATACCTGATTAGAAGATTAAACTTTAGATACCTTTTGGGAATTCCTTAGTGTCGATACGATGGGTCTGCATAAGGGTTTTAAAACCATTATATATTAATAACAATAGGGGGGGACGGCTTCTGTATAAACAAGCATACCTAAGTTTCTCTTTCTATCATGGAAACTTAGATATTAATGGTTAAAATTAAATCACACCAAATAAGTTGGAAAACCACAATCCAACAGTATAAAAACCATACTCCCAATTAGACCACCAAATTAGAAAGTACAACCCAATCCATCAAGTATCAATATTCACATTGCAATTCTACTTTAGAAAATGTAATGCATAGGACCATAAAATAATTTTTATTATTTAAATATATGAATATACAAATTCCAACAATCTCCCACTTAGTCCATACATTCTAAGTTTTATAAAATGGCACTATGGATTGCAACGCACTTTATAAAAGTCGAGTGACCACTAATTTTTATTTAGAAAACACAATTATCGAAATTAATATATTGAAACGTTAGAACACTCTCCTCCATAAATTTCCTCAATAGTGGATCATGAATGCATAGACAAGTAATATATTAGTCTAAACAGTTCCATGGTCTCAAAATAAAAGCTAATACTTAGTTAATGCACTGAATGCATATGTTATTATTATTTTTAGTTATGACTATGTAATAAATTGTCTTTTAGTTTATTTATTATTCTTTTATCAAAAAAATTTAAAAAATAAAAACAATTTAGACATTTCATAATATTTTGTTAAAAAAAAAAAAGGAACTAACTTGTATATAACCACTAAAATATTAAAATGACTAGAAGTTTCACTCTAATTTACCTTATTACTTGAATTTCACATTATTTGATCATCCTATTTAGTCAATGTGATGAAGTTAAATACTATATAGTCTAAATAGTTGTCATAGAAGGTCAAAATTCTTTGGCTTTGAAAGGAGAATAAATTACATGTTGCTGTTCCCACTTCTCCACTCACCTCTCGTTCCCCAATAAAGTAATCTCAAAAAGCATACTCCTAAAAAGAACCATCTCTTGCCAGATCATCTTCTCGTTGAATTAATCCCAAACATTATAGTTGTAGTAAATGAAAACAAAGTAATGTCAAAAAAAAAAAAAGAAAGAAAAAAAAAACACATTTCCAAACCACAAGAGAACTGTCCTCGCAATAAAAGCTACCTTCACATTCAAATTGATCTTTTAATTCTTTCACGGTTCTCCCGGTGCCATTACCAACCCAATGTTTCAATATATTTATTACATAAATTGCTTTTTTTAAATAAATAAAAAAAACAAGAAAATATTTTTAATCAGTTTGGAAATCTTTCTTTTCGTTTTTGTTTTTCTATGCAAATATTACACTCACCAACTTTGTTGAAACAAAAATAATAATAAAAAATTCACCCATTTTTACTTCAACAGAAACCCTGCCACCAAACTCAGACTTTCTCCTATGATTACAACATGAGCTTTGTTATTTGTTGCAATAGGTTCATTCCCAAAGTTCTTATAAGTCCATTCTTAACTTATTTTTAATTTATTTCTTTGTTGTATTGTTATGACCCACGGATATACGTACCCTCAAAAATGGAAAACCAATAAGGATAGACATTAATTGGATAATAAATCTAAATAATTATTACAACATAGAAGGATAGGCATTAAACACATACTGTAATAAATAAAATCTAAACATTCCTCTGATTTCTAGCACTTATTTGGCGAGAACCCAATAAGATTGTTGGAAAGGTCATAACTGACACGTGTCCCCTGCTGCTGTACGTTTCCGATTATAGACAACGACGAGCTCGTCGGTGCGAAGGCAAAACAAAACGTTCCGGCAGAGTCAACCGGTATCAGGTAATTCTTAGCCGGTAATTCCAACGACTTCCCGTTCGGAAAACGAAACGACACCTTTGGAACGTCCACACTCTTTCTCCCTGATAGATCGTAACAAGTGTCAAACAACGCCACGCCGTTAGTAGACGGCAGGCTCTTCGTTCCGTTCACGAACGCGTCACGGAGTGAGTTGTATACGTCCGTCTGTAACCGAGTCACGGCCGTTCCCGAGTCAACTATGACTCCACCGTCGCCATTGCTGTCCAACTGAAAAGCCGTCGGAGGGACTGAAATCGACTCGCCGCCGACGCTGAACCCCGTTAAGGCGAGGTAGTAGAAGGTGTCGAGTTTACTGTTACGGACTAAAGGAGCCGTGACGGCGTTAGGCGGGGTTACTGAGTTGAACTCGAGAGTTGAGGCCGCGTCCGAGTCACGGTCAACGAGGCAGTAAGAGAAGGAAGAGGCGTTGATCTGAGAAGGGAAGGAGAGCGAGCCGCCGCCGAGCCCGATCAAGCCGGCGGCTCCGACGAACAAGCCTTCGTTGTTATGGCCGCAGCCGATGGCTATGTTGTTAACCGAAGCCGAGCCGCCGAACGTGATGGTCTCCGTCACGAAGTCACCGACGGTGTACGAGCCATCGCCGTACGACACCTCGTAGAGGCACGAGCCGTTGCGACACTCGGAAACATCGAGCGACTTGCACTGCCGAGTCTCGCACGTGAGAGGCGAGTACGACGACGACGAAGCCGGCTCGAAGATGGGGTCGGCTTGCTGGTAACAGTCGGCGCAGGGTGCGCACTGCACCCAGTTGACGTCACTGCCCGTGTCGAGCACCATATACACCTGACTCGCTGGTCGACCGATTCCGACTCGGGAGAAGTACTCACCGCTTCCTTGACTCGTTCCCGAAATCACCGGAACCTCTAAATCCTCCGCTTCTAACTCGGTATCCACTGGCTTTAGATCTGACTCGGCAATGCCTCTAACAGCCAGATCTAACCTGGTCTGAATCGATCTGACTCGCGCTGAGTCACGCTCGAGTCGAGCTAAGGTCAGCGACTTATAGTCTCCATTTGAAGCTTTATGAAGGGACGACCGAGAATGGAGCTGAAAAGAGAGCGACGACGAAGATGAGAAGCTCTGTTCTTGTTGGGTCAACGCCACAGTGGTTTCGAGATCAAATGAAAACACATTTAGGGTTTTTTCAATCGAGTCAGTGACATCAAGAACCACAGTGTTGGAGCTCTCTGGCAAGCTCCGACAGTGAACTGAACTATAGAAGAAACCAAACAGGATGAAGAAGAAGACAACTTTTTCTGCCATTGTAGATAGAGAGAGAGAGAGAGAGAGAGAGAGACGGAGAGAGTGGTTTTGAGATGGTATGTAGTTTATATATATATATATATATAAGAAGACAGAGTGGTATTTTAGAAGTATTCACGATGGAGTCGTGAGAAGAAAAACAAGAGTCATAATGGAGAGAAGATTTGGATGAAATCTAGAAATTGGAGTTTTTGATTTGAAGTGTTGGAAGTGTTTGGTACACCTATGAAAGATGAAAATTTTCATACAACATGGATGCTTAATGTGGGCTTTTTAAGTTAAGGGTTTAATAGAAATAAGAATGATTAATGTTGTACTTTATAGTATGCTTTGTTTAAGTAAATATATGGTCACCTGAGTACATTAAGGCATGATTTAGGGAGCAAATTGATTGGGGGATTGGTAGTGGGGACTTTTGGTAGGTCAAAAGGTAGGCAGGCATAGATGGAACATCATCACCAATAATCACCATGGCACTATTGGTACCATAACATCATTAACACCATAAATCTAAGCTTGTCACGTTTTATTTTGCATTTTTTTTATATTATTTTTTTGATTTTTTCAATCATAATGTGTAAGTGGTTGTTGATGCCTGAGATCATGGGTCAAAACCACACCCCCCCCCCCCCTCTCAATGACAAAATTAGCTTAACTTAAGTAAACCTCATATGTTGAGATTACACCCTCTTAAATTTCTAATTGATACTCACACACACGTTTCTTTTGAGACTTGAATTATTAATCTCCTTTTAGGAAGTAAGAGGCTGATACCGCTAGGTCACTAGTCCGTAGGTAAAAATAATAATAAAAAATTAAAATAAAATTTTAATTCTGACATTTATTTTGAAACAGCAATAAATAAAAAAGGACATTTATTTTAAAACATAAGGCATTATTTTAATTTTTTATTATTATTTAAGACTTTGACAACTATTTGTCACATTGAGTACTTGAATGCTCAAATATTTATATATATTTCAAACTGTTCTTAACTTCTTGTAACTTCATTTTGTGCCGGTGTTTATCAATCGATGAGGTTCGGCACATCGATCTGTCATTATGCTCATTCTAGTAGTACTCTTCAATTTTGAATTTTCTTCTTTCAGATTTTTTAGAAAATTGAGATTAAAAAAAAAATTTGATGTGGGGCTTCTTGTTAATTGCGGCCGTTGATGCAGTCCATCCAGCCCAGAGAGCTGTCGGGTTGATGATGTAACATATGGAATACTGTTAATGTACTTGGGATGTTTTTCTAGGCAAAATTTGTTTTAATTTTGTATAATTTTGTATTTGACACTACACGAAATAAAAGAATTTAAATCAAGACAAACACCATTAACTAAACGTGTCGTTTTGATGTTTCACTCTGTAAATACAATAAAATAACATATGTTCGTGTCAAAGTTGACTTATTTGTGTATTTTTGTGTTCTTAACCCATTTATTAAACAAGTTACACGCGACGTATCGTATTACACATGTAATAATCATACTACTGTGTTTGTATCAAAAATCTTAAACACGATTAATAATCGTGTCGACCAGCCATCGATAACACGAATTGCCACCCCTATCAATTACTTAAATCAAGTCAAATATCACTCGTGTCTCGTAAAGAGTTGGACCCTATCATTCTTGTCTCACTCTAGTAATATCTCCTTTACTTTTTAACTGAAAGGCCCCGGTGTGTTCAAATCTCTATGAGTCAAAGATTCAAATCTTTATCCATCGGTATTAATTATCAAGAAGTGAAAGATGGGGGCTGTTGGTTGATTCATTGGACCTTAGGCTGACCAGAATCATATGCATATCCGTGGTTATTCACAACTTTTGCAAAAATCTGATTCTCCCAAGGATAGATTTCAGACAGTACTGAAGCCACTGAGGACTCCAAAAACCCTTTCTACAGCACCCGCCACCGGCGGAGTTGATGGAGATGATCAGAAGCCCCCGTTGCCCTCAGCTGCAAGCAGTCATTCAGTCCCGGCTTGAACATGAATAACTGCCGCTGACTGGCCATCGAGATTTTGCTTGTAGCATTGACATCAACCGCACTGTCTAGGGTTGTTACAGGGATATCTTTCACAAGTACTTCCGCGACATAGCGCCATTTGTTGCAGTTGTAATTGTGCAGTAATGCAAGATAAGATGGAGGTGTGTCCCTCGTCATCTCCTGAAGAATTTGGATGATTCCACCTACTAAAAACTGCTTTATTTCAGTGAGCAATTTTTCAAAAACATATACCACTAAAAACAATTAAAAAATAAAACAAAATCAAATGGATGTAATCATGTCAAGATCATCAGCAAGTTTTATGATGATTCTAATTACAAGGAAAGAATTTAAACTTGACATTGAGGAGTTACAGGTTCATGTTGGGTAACACTAATGGTCAAATAAGTATATTATCAATAGTATCTAGTTTAGCCTAATATCTGCATAAAACCCAACTCAAAAGTACTTATCAAAAAAAAAAAAAAACCCCAACTCAAAAGTCAAGATCTTTTTTTCCTAGTTGGTACTCACACAGACATGTCTCTTTTGAGATTTGAACCCCTGACCTCTTTTTGAGAAGTAAGAGGCTGATATCGCTAGGCCACTGGCTCGTTCGTTAATTTGAATACTAGCGTTATTTGTTATAAAAAGACATGTACATACTACATACACCTGTTCCTAATTATGTATCGTCCCCCCCCCCCCCCCCCCCCCCCCCCCAACAAAGTTTATTATGTATATTCATCTAAAATGCATACAGATATATATACGTACATATATCTATTAACATATCTGTATATATATTCATCTCAAATTGTTCAATAGCACATACATATAGCACCTTACTGTATAATAATAACAAGATACTTCATTGTAAAAAGAAGAAAAGTATCACTTATTAAACAAAACAAACCAGCCTAGTTAAGGGGGCGGTCAACCCAGGTTCAATAACACTGTCAAACAAGCAGATAGTTAACAAATGGATGATCAATAGTTACGTCCTAGGAAATGCATTGAACAAGCAGCTTGTGAAATTGTTCAGTTGTTGCCATTTGAGCCTGAACATAAGAAGTCTAAAGCTCCATACAAGGCCCCATACATGTCCAAATCGCCTTTTATTTTCCAACCGAACCGAGCCAAAATAGCCTAGAGCTCAGCTCGCCAGCTCAGTTCAATTGTAGTAGCCCTACTATCAGTGTAACCACTGCATGGTCGGTAAGAAGGGGTGGGATCTTAGGGTCAATCTTTCTGGACATGAGCAAATGAAAAGAGCATACTGCTATACCAACCCTTATACAAAAAATAACTGGTGATTCTAAAACCTTCTAACCAAAACATTTTTTTGAACATACCATCATCTCATTACTTATTAGAAAATGGGTGCATGTGTAAAATACATGCTAGCCAAAGAATCCAATAACGGTTCCAATTACTGTTGGACCAAGGCTGAAAACTTGCAAATTCGATTCTAGATTAGGTTTCTGCAATTTCCAGGAAGAAAGGCTCGAATGCCATGAGATATAGGTCTCAATACGAAAGCTTTCAGAGGAAGAAAGAGAGAATGCAAATAAACTAAATCTGGAATTCTCTTTTTCAAAAACCTCTTCCCAAAAGAAACAACATATCTGTACATACTTAGGAGGTCACTTCGTAGCAAATTACTTTACCCAACTAGTAACTTACGAGTAGCCACCAAAATGAAAGGTAGGGGACCAATGAAAGGTAGGGGACCAATGGCTTACAAGCAGCCACCAAGGTCAGTGTAATTTACTCTTTTATATTTTATGAATGGTCTATCACTAATACATAGATGCTTTTGTCTTTAATCTTTTACTATTACAGGCACACACTCCATGATAACCAGAATGGAAAATTTTGAAATCTGTAAATCCTACTTTTATATGTTACTTTATTTCAATTACCTCCATATAAATTTTATTTTTATACTCTCAACTTGCACAACTGCAATTTATGACAAAGTTTCAAGATTTCTACAATAAAAAAATTAACTAGAGAAAAGAAGCAAGATATTTAACTGACTCCCTGATACTGAGTTGAGTTGACATGATGTAACACTCAGCCATAGTAATTAATTTATATCGTACTATTTACATTAAATTAGACAAATACTCAACCAAAAAAAGACAGAAACAAGACATCCTATGCTATTACAAGTTATTAACTTCTTTACCATATCTATCATTTGTCCAAATTCCCTGAAATTCATATTATTCACCAAGATTTATATTGTATATGACTCAACCACCAGAATTACGTTGGATATGAGTCAACCATTTGAAGAAAGGAAAATAAAATTAGCAAACAAATAATATAGTGCGGCATGTGCCAGCTTGCATAAATTGTTCACTTAGGGAAGTTAACAACATGAAGGAAGAGCATGATTGTTAATTATACCTATGTTAGACTAGCAGTGTTTATGGAAATTTGAGAATAAGACTTACAAAAACATAAAGGCATTGTAAGAATGGGGCAGAAATTTATGGGTTTTGTATTCGATAGTTTTTCAGCCTGGGATTGATTTCTGGAGTTGATCATTCAAATTATAAAATATTTCTTAATGTAGTCAATATGATACCCAATTTATATCATCGATCTACTTCTTCAATTCAACTGAGTATTTCTAATAGCATCTGTCAAAAGCTAACATAGTCCTAATTCCACTAATGATTTTGCTACATTCACTGAATTCTCTACCTCACATTATGTAGAGGATTAAGCAGATTCTTTTGCAAAAATAACAGTTTCCCATCTTGGATTGGTTGACATTTCAAATGCCAGTCTCAGAAGCATGAAGTATTCCTGAGTTTATGACTTCAACATGATTAGCAGACATAAGAAGGTATTTGAAAATTTAATACTTCCACAAAAAATAGAGGGCCTTTTAGTGCTTACCTCAAATCAAAAACTGATTCATGGACAGGAAAAGTTAACAACCTGCATCTCCAGTAACCCATCTCCTTTGTCCTGGTATTGTAGCTGATACAGTCAAAACAAGATAGGTGCATGTTCCTTAACAGAGACTTTATTCCATGTTGTACATATTATCATCCATCATCATCCATGAGAACCACTCTTCTGCAAATAGAAGTCTTTCTAGTGAAAGCCAACAGATGCTCTACTAAATTAGACTGGAAGTCTAAAAAGTAATAGACAGTTAAAAACGCCAATGGAAACAAAAACTGAAAAACATTCAAAATTAAAAAAGGACATAAAGTTAATAATGTCAAACACAGTTAGCCCCTTTTGAGCGCTTTTTATAAATTTTACTTATCAAACAAAAAAAAAATAAAGGTTTAAATTCTATAAAGCATGTTTTTAGATTTAAGGTTTATGAAATGGATAATTCAGAGCTAAATCAAATGTAACGCACAAAAACAAGAGGTGGAAGGGATACTTTATGAAGCCTCTTACTAAGGATCATTTCCTCAAGGTTCCAACACAAAATATATATATACATACATATAATTTTTGTTGAGTCAATAGTATTATCTCAGTTAAAATATTGACGAAGTAGCATTCTTTTCTATCCTACCAGCCAAATAACAAATAATTCACTACCACTTCATAGAGATAACATTATAATTTTCAAAGATAAGTTATTTTATTACTTGATGCAACTCCATACATCGACAACTGAATTAGCAAGAACAGGAAGAAACTTTAAAAAAACAAACATAACGCTTAGCCTTGTACCCTAATTATGACAATAACTACAAAGGCATTTATTTATTTTCATTGCCTCTAGACAGCCTCTTGCTGATAGCTCTATCCTCTTCAATCTCACCTTCACCAGCTGCTTATTCTTATTACTTCAGAGGGACTGCTGATTAACATCAGCAGCATCAGGAGACGATGAAGGTGATGGTGGAGGTGGAGACACAGAAGGATTAGGAGGATTAGGAGGAGAAGCTGGATGTGGAGGAGGATCCACGAAGGAAGCTTCTGGAAGTAGTACAAAGTCCCTTCCTCTGACTCGCATTGTTGGTTGCACACCATACAGGAAAATAGGAGTGAGAGAAAAACGATTATGGAGAGCATCGGTGTAAATGAGCTCCCTCTGATGAAAATTTCTGTGGCAGCCGCAAGCTACACAAATGAGAGCTTGTTGGTTACCTTCATTTCCTCCTTGCATGAACTCACCACAACCATCTACAACATAGTCACCGACAGAAGTTGCATGGTTTCGCAGACATTTTCTGTACTTATAGGATGCTGTGATCAAGATCGGACTTGCCATTGATTTTCCGCTCACTGACACAGACAGAAGGGGGAGGGATAGGGGTATCTGCAAACTTCCACACCTACTACTAGCTTTTTAGAGCGTTTCTTATACTTGTAAAAAGTCTTCCATTTTTGTCGCTATGTTCACAGAATAGATTCCGCATGGCTGGCTTCCAAAATAGGCATTCAGACATCAAAAAGGAAAAAAAATTAAGAAATTACCAGAAACCACATGGTGCCGTGGCAACTTTTTCTTTTATTATCAAGCACTTCATTCACACAACTCATCTTAATGTGGCCAAAATGTCATTTCTCCTAGCGCGGAGTTGTTGCAATCCACATCAGATTTGAAGTTGGATAGGTACGCATTTAATCTAGCTTTGGTTCATTGATATTGGTCAAGATTTTTTCTTGCTGTGGTTTTCTAATAAATGAATGCTATGTTCACTAATGCTCGGTTTACTGCAACGGGTGGAAAATTAAATGAGAGAAAAGTAGGAGGGAAGAAAGAGGTGCGCTTAGAGAAAGAAAGGAACCTTGTTTGGCTGGGTGGAAAGGAAATGAGGAAGAAATATATGTGATATTGAGTGATTGAATCAAGAATTATACACACACACATTTTTTAATGGCAAAAGCTAACTTCCCCACCTTAAATTAGAGTATTAACATATACCCGTTTAAATCATCTTAGCTGTTTAATGTGACACTTTTGCCATTTGAAATCCTTTCGTATTCTTTTCTCCAATCCGTCTTCTTTTTTTATATTTTTTATTTTATTTTTTGATAAGTGAGAATTTTATAAAAAGCGCTCAAAAGGGGGGCGAATCCCATGAAAACAAAAGGCCACAAAAAGCCTTAAGCCTTCAAAGAGGCCAAAAAAACATAACAATCTCCTCAACAGAACGATAATCTCTCCCTGAGACCCAACAAAAAAGAGTGGAAATAATAGAGAACTTAAGCATAAAAATGGATTTCTCCTTGCCATCGAAATATCTCCGATTTCTCTCGAGCCAAATGCACCACCAAATACAGAGAGGGGTAGCCCTCCAAGCATCCCGGATGAGAAGCCTCTCCAAGCCTCAATCAACCCTCTAGAAGAACATGGCATAACCCAAGGGACCCCAAATAACCCAATCATCAAATCCAACAATCTCTGGCCATACTACAATGCAACAGAAGATGATCCTTAGTCTCCTCATCGCGTCGGCACAAGTAATAGCGATTGATAACCACCTGATTTCTCCTTCTCAAATTATCCTAAGTTAAAATCCTACCTAAGACAGAAGTCCAAGCAAAGAAGGCCACCTTAAGGGGAGCTTTGGAGCGCCAAATAGCCTTCCAAGGGAAAGGGCCACCCTCCCCAACAGAAAGGCACTCGAAAAATGATCTCACCTCGAACCGACCCTGAGAGTGTGGACTCTAAAGCCAACAATGCTTCCTCACATTAAAAGCCAACCTGATCACCATCGATGATTGCTCTCAAGGAGTTAAAAATAAAGCCAACCGTCTCTCTCTCTCCCCTCCTCTCTCTAAGCAAATGTGTTTATCGCCTCAATTTCATATATAATATAAATGCTACATTGACAATCCCCATCTCACTAACAACATTAATAAAAATTAATAAATAAATAAATAAAACTTGGATTTGTTCTTTTTAAATAGTTTCAATAGAAAGCAGGCAAAGAAAATCAGGGAAAGATGGGAGGGGTCCAGGCCACCATTGCCAGATGGCCTCCTTCGTTGGATGCATGTTACGTGATCCAGCACCACTACCAGCCATCTCGGCACAATTCATCTTCCGATTCTTCCCACAAAACCTTCATTACATGATCATTGCCACCACCAGTGACCGAGGGTCACTAACCCCAAACACCATACTGTATTACTGTATATCCCCACTTGGACAAAGACAAAAAGTATACCTGTCCAAATAATAATTAATATGAAGCAGGGTCAGTTTCTGCAGCACCCGAAAACCACCAAATTTCTGTATGCACCTCCATATATGCCATCTATAATTTGAAACCCACCAACACCAACATCGGTGGCCACCATCAATGAAAAAACCCAAACACCAATACCGTCGAACACCAAATGTTGCCAAAACAATATAAACTATAAAGGTGGTTGCTTTCCTCTTTACTCATTACAAAGGTGATATCATTTTGGTAGCGTCAAAGGAGTCGCAAAGATGGTGGCCATGGTGTCAAAGGAGATGATGATGGTGGTTAGGGATGCTTGTATTTTACAGAATAGTAAAATAGCTTGTATTTAATCTTCAACCTTTATGCTCATATTTTGCTGTTTCTAATTAGAGAGGAGGGGGGTTTGTAGTAGAGAAAAGGGGGGAAGGTTATAAAAGATGGTGAAGCACTGACAAGCAAATCTTCCTCACCGTTTCGAGCTAGCAGCTCTCTAAAGGAATATATTCGTATTTGTGGTTCAATTGACAGTTTTTTTTTTTTTTTGGATAAGTAAAAGTCGATTAGAAAAGTGTTCAAAAGGCGAACGCGTCCCTAATACCAAAAACGAAAATTGAACCTAAGGACCAATAGAGTCCAAAAGATCAATTAAGTCATCAATAGAGGAACAAGCGCTTCCTTTTACATAACAGAAAATAGAACGAAGAATATGAATTTTCAAGGTTGCCAAAGACGATTCCTTTCCTTCGAAATTTCTGCTATTCCTCTCTCTCCATATGCACCACCAAACGCAGTGTGGAACAATCCTCCAATAGTCACGAGCTTGGCTTTTCATTGGGCATCTTCTCCACGCGTTAATCAGTCCTATGGAGGACTGAGGCATTACCCAATGTACTCCAAAAATGCCGAAGATGAGGTTCCAACAATCATACGCCACAGGACAATGCATAAGAATGTGATCCACAGACTCACCGTCTATTTTACATAGGCAGCACCAATTAACGATAGTGTTGCCCCTTTTTTCTCAAATTCTCCAACGTCAAAATCTTACCCCATACAGCAGTCCAAACAAAGAATGCAACTTTAAGGGCTAGTTTAGTGTGGTTGAATGAAATAAAGTGGGAATGGAATGAATCAGATAATGGAATGGGAATCCATTCTCATTCCCATGTTTGGTTGCAGAGAAAAACATCCTATTTTTGTAAAACATATATATATATCTATGTGCAGCCGACGTTTCATCAAATGTTTTTTTTATTCATTTATTTATTATTATTATTTTTTTAAAGTGGGAATGGAATGGTCATTCCTTTAGTTGGAAAGTGGAATGAATTAGTGGAGAGAATGGGCAAGAATCATCATTCCAACTTTAAAGTTAGTTACCAAACTAAAGAATGGAAACAAAAGCATTCCATTCTCACTTCATTTGATTCCATTCACTCACACCAAACATGGCATAAGTGGAACGACTAAGAGTGCGTTTTGATAATTTTGATTTAATTGAAATATGGAGTATTCCCCATAAGGTGGGAAGGCTAAGTTTCTACTAAAGTAATTTCATTTTGACCTTTTCTTTCCCTTACCTTTTTGCCCGTTTTGGGTGGAAACCTTTTTTCTGTACAGAGGAAGGAGGTCTCATCCCTCCCCCAATCCTTTCCCAAACCTTTTCCCCTCTACCAAATGATTGAAGTCTCCTCTCTCCTCCATATTTTCTCTCCCTCCTTGCTTTTTTGCGCTTATCCAGCTTACTAAACAAAGCATACCATCACTATGCTTCAAAACCCCGGCCAAACTATAAACAAACTCCTTCGCAATATTCTTTACTTTGTGTATCTGAATTGATAATTTAGCCAGCAAAAGTTAGGTTAATCCCATTACAGTCTGGCCTCAGAACTCTTAAATTTTTCTAGTTCATATTCCAATCCTTGCTTCAAATTTTCAAATTCACAGCATCATTGAGCCATATGTGGCCCATTCAAAAGCACAACACCAGCACCTTTTAGGATGTGAGATGGGTTAACAAACTAAATAAAGCGTAACTAGCTTTTAGTTGAGAGTTTAATTTTTTTGTTTTCTCCTGCACACTGATGTACAAAAGTTGTCCCCCACCTTCTAACTCCTCCTTGCGCCTAGTTGCCTGTAGTGTTGGTAATTCTTATTAAAGAAAAGTTCTTAGAAATTTATCCACGAAAAAAAAAAAAAGAAAAATAATTACTTATTCTAGAGAACTGCCTGATAATTACACAGCATGAATTAATATATCAACATATTGATATGTTTATCTCCTTAGAAAGAAAAACGTAATTACTTTTTACAATAGAAACGAATTTCATTTCTAATTCTATTTAATTTACTATGTTTGTTATAGTCTCAATGTTATTAAAGGCTAAAGGCGCACCAAGGTGCTAGAAGTCCTTTGGAGCATAGGCGCAAGGCGCGTGCCTGAGTGAAGTGAGGCGCACAATTGAAAATTAAACTACCATAAAAGCATTCATATCTCATAAGTCATATCAATATTCTAAAAATTAAAATCAAATATAAAAAGTAAATCCATCAACTATATAAGCATCCAAGAACCATATAGAGGGCTGTTTTTTTTGGCCCTGTGTTGTTCTCCTGGGATGCGTTCCCCTTTTGAGCGCTTTCAATGCATTTCTTACTTATCAATATATATATATATATATATATATAACAGAGCACAAATTTGTTTTTCTTAAAATGCAAAATGGAATTTGTTTTTCTGAAAGGCAAAACAGAGCACAAAATAGAAATAAATCTGTTAACAAAAAAAAAAAAAATCAGTGACAACATTCAAAGAAGAAGAAAAAAGAAGAGTGAGAGATGGAGAAGAAGAAGACAGAGAGAGAGGGACAGCAAAAAAATAAGAAAGAAAAGAAAACTGTTTACAGAAAAGGACGAAAAAAAAAAATCACAGAAGGAACAGTAGGGAGAGAGAGAGAAGAACAATTTATTCTTTTGAACAAAAGTACCTTCTCTCATACGGTTGGGCTTTCTTATTTGTTTATTAAGTTGCCAAAAGTACCCTTTTTGGCTTAAGAAATAGAATAATCATTTTTTTAAAAAAGAAAAAACACATATAGGACGAGGCGCAACTGAGGCGTGCGCCTAGTAAACATTAGTGCGCCTGGGATGACAATAGGTGCTACACCTGCGCCTCGAGCCTAGGCGCACCTTTAACAATGGTAAAAAATAAAAGTAAAAGAAAAAGAAGATCAATTTAAAGTGAGAAATTTCATAATGAGATTAATTTTACTTATTCTTCCAATTTATGTGATATGAAAGCATAAGGGACTCGGTAAAGGATTACTTTCACACAAAATATTACTCTTTTGGTGCTTCCAAGAAAAGATCTTAGATACGCCATTAACCATGCAAGGCAAAATCCAACTTGGTTCGAGCTTTGGCCTAAGTTATAGCTTAGGTCTAGCCTTACTGCCCCAATCGTAAGAAAGTAATATACACAAAAAGAATAATAGATTTAAAATATTTCATATATAAAAAGACATATACTTCATCATTGTAGCATGAATCATTAAATCTGCAGTTAACAAAATATCACAAGACAGACAGTTTGCCAGTCGAACCTTTGGAAACCATAGACCAGCCCTACCTATAAATAACCGATACATGTCTAAGCTCTCTCATGGCCTAGCACAGGACACCCAGGCCAGGTAGATCATTTGGCTTGTGTGAAACCCTTTTTCCCATGCTCCAATATAAAAAGGTCACTTTACTTTTAAAATCATAAAAGCAGGACATAGACCATGTAAAATCATAAAAGCAAATTTAGTTGGGCCAAAAGCAGGAATGGTTTCATGTAAGATCATAAAAGCAGGATTAGTTCCCAATTATCCATGCATAGAACATAAACCATGGCATATGCATTCATTGCTTATCATAGAAGGTTGAAACAATTGGATAGTTGGAGCAAAACTAGTTCCATGTTAGGTTTAAGAGTTAATAGGAGGTTTATATGAATTACGTTTAGTAGGGTTGTTTTCTTCAGTCGTTCAATCAAATCCAACAAATACTTTCAAGTAATTCAACTAATATTCAAAACCTATATCAGTTTCCTCTTGCAGTCTCTTAGTCAACTAAATTTTACTGCACATGAAGAAAAAAGGGACTGATATTTATATATATATATATATAAACCATTAATACTAAAGTCTGAAGAGGACCTGCTGATGAGAATACTAAAAAACCACTTCACCAAATTAATGGTGTACAAGAGCAACGAACAAACAACGAAGCATCAGAATAATGATAGAAATAAAAATCAAATATATAAACACTTCACCAAATTAAATGGTGTACAAGAGCAATGAACAAACATCGAAGCATCATAGTAATGATAGGAATAAAAAGTATATAAATATATATATAAAGAAATAAGATGGGCCAGTCATCCAGGACTCACAAGTCACGAAAAGTGTACCATTTATAGATCTGAATAGAAGTCTTCTGACACAAGAGCTAAGCATAGTTATGGATGGAAGGCTAGCCTTTAAAAAAAAAAAGTGCTAAACATAGCTGCTGCAATGTATGAAACACATTCATCTTTCATCCAGTACTAACTGAATTTACCCATATAGATGTCGAACATGAATGATCACTTAAAAGCCCACTAGATCTATAAAGGTTTACTCATGTCCCCTAATCCTTTATATTAGGTGCAAACACGTGATATTATCTTTTCTTACTATTTTAAAATGCAAGCATGAGAATGGTCCTGTCCATTATAGCAAATAGTATGGCCAAGATTCTTAATCTCTATACCAAATCAGTGCACAATTCTTTTTGTATAATCTTGCCAAGTTTTTCATATAAATCATCCGCAATGAAATAATTATTCTTCAATTAAAAATAGTGAATCAGACTCACAGCTAGGTTGTACTTGTATTTACCTTTTTATGGTATGGGTAATAACGAAAACACAAAATGCCCCTTTCTTCACAATTGCATACTATGGTGATAAATAATCAAATTTTCACTCTCAACTTACAATCATTTAACAGTCACTCCAGAAACAACCGCTTACATCATCAAATTTTTAGCTCCAAAACTCTAAATTCTAACAGAAAACTAATTGGGTTTTAATAAATAAAAAAAACCCATCCTAGTACCATACGCATTGCACATACACAAATATGCACAAATTTGGCACTAAAAACAAAAATTATTAAAAAATATGATTAAGCTTCAAAAACAATTTCTCATCAAAACCACTCATAAATTCAGGACGTGTGAAGAGTTGAGCTTTGAATCCAAGAATAAATGCAAGGAACTGTAAAGAAGTTACAAGTACTTGTTATCTAACCAAAATCATCAGATAAATTTCATGGTTCAATGAGCTATGCAAAAAAAGTAAATAAATAAATAGATCAAAGAGGGTAGTTTGAATATATGAACATAATTCGTGCGTTTATATACATCTGAATAACTATATATATATATATATATATATATATATAATCTATAAGCCTCATGTAAGAGAGATGGTTGAGCATGATACCTTTTTTAAGGTTAAAGACGTGAACATTTGAGAGAGCCAGTCTCCAGCACATCGCAGTCCCTCTCTCCCTATCTCTCCCTTTCTCTCTAAAAAAAAAAAAATGCAAACTTCCGTGCTTACAAATTTTTGTATTTTTATTTTTCAAAAATAAAAATAAAGTAAAACCTCAAATGGAATAAACAACGAAAGTGATGGTCTTTGAGACAATATGGCAAAATGACGTCGTTTTCAAAAATAAAAATAAAGTAAAACCTCAAATGGAATAAACAACGAAAGTGATGGTCTTTGAGACAATATAGCAAAATGACGTCGTTTTAACTCTCTGGGAATTCCGCTATCCCCTCAGGTCTCATCTTTGTTTAGGATTGGGATCTCTCCAGTAATTTCTCAATCCAATTAAGCACTTCTAACCTATCATTAAAATGTTATAAAAATATTGGTCTAAATTTAGTTGGGTATAAAATTAAAAAGTAGTGAATAGTTGAACAAATTATGACTTGACATTTATAATTGTAATGACGATGCTTGAAAAGAGAAATTATTGGAAATACCCAAATTCCTTAGTATAAAGTTGATCTTAAATCATATATACTGTCACGGAAAAATTTTAATTCATATAAAATTGAGTTGAACTTACGTTTGGAACCACCGAATCAGCAACTAAGATTATTGCAAACTAATTGAACATGATGCGCATGGACGACTATCACTAACATCAATAATGCACAATTGCAAGTCAATATTTTAATTCAGGTATTCCACTCAGATTTGCAATATTCACTATTTTTATTCAAAGAGTCCACCAAATCAGCCAAGTTTTGTTCAAAAAGGACTGGACTAAGTTCAGGGCAGAGAAGGAACATATTTCCTAATAGTATTTTTCTTGTAAGCAGATTGGACAAGTGCCAAAGGAATACTGAATTTTTTTTTTACTTCTACTCCACTTAAAAGTCAGCAATTTTTACACCAGGTTTATCAAGTAGAGGAAAATATGAACATTTCATTGCAGTGACCAAGTTTATCAAGGGTGTTTTGATGAAAATGACCCCTGGTTTAGTGAGAGAGAGAGACACCATCCTAAGTTGTCCGTGGCATGAGGCGAGTAGAGAACACCGGCACCAACTATGGCCGTGATGGCGTGGAAGGTTGAGGGCATGAGGTGAGCAGGGAACACCATTCTAGTATAGTTTAAGTAATGTGTTAGCAGTACAACTTACAGCTTAGAAAAGATAAAAGGTCTTGCCAAGCACCATCTGTGCCCCTACCCAACTTTTTGACATGTTAATTTAGAAAACCCCCTCCAGGCATGCTTGGGGGCACTTGTGTGTTGAAACTTGTCCCTGGGATACCAACTGCGACCGGGTTGGACCCATTCCTGCCCCCAACCAATCATTGCTGCCGTGGTTGTTGCTGCAGTTGCAGTTGCGGCATTTGTTGCTGTTGTTGCAGCTGTGGAATCTGCTGCTGTTGTTGCAACTGGGGAAGTGGTTGCTGTTGCTGCACCGGTGGAAGCTGCTGTTGTGGTGGAAGCTGCGGCTGCTGACCGGATATTTCTGTTTTAAACACGACCCTATCCTACTCACACAACAAATTTAGTGTAAGAGAGTTTTAAGTACTGAGACTAGAATCAAAAGTGAAATTTCGTGATTTTGTATTTGATATTACCGCTGGGAAAAGCATTCCAATCAAGTGGCAGGGTTTATCAGAAACAGACAGCATCAATGTCTGTGACGGCAACTGTATTACTGCACACTAGAGATTCAAAATGACAGCCAACATCAGAAATCCTGTCAAAAGAAAATGTCACAGCGTGACACTGAAAACTCTTATCAGACTTCTCCGATAGAAATATCCACCAATGCACTTGACAGAATATGGCAATCCAAATGTAGTAAATAGTTTCACTGGTTGATTCATGAGTCTCTGGAAAAAAACACATGCCATCATCTCATACATACAAATAAGTTTAATCAAGGTTTGATTTGTGAACTAAATACGGTCTTCGGGAATTTCCAAGCACCAAAAGGTTGCAAGTGTTCAACATCTAGTTAAAAAACTTTACACATTCATTCTATAATCTTCTAAAGTTAGCATCCAAAAGTTGTCAGGTTAAGTATTTAAAGGTTGCAAGTGTTCACCATAAAAGCATCAATTTACAAATTAATGACCCCAACCCCCCTTTCCCACAAACTTCCCTCCAAGCTTCAGTTAATGAGATAGCTTCGAAAGTACTAAAATCCCTTTTAATAGCAACTTCAAAAAATAAAAATCAATATAATATTGGCAAAGACGTGTTTACTCGTACAAGTCCATCCGAGAAGCACAGACACTTGTAAGGAGGAATCATGTCAGACACTAACACTTCAACACTCCTGGATGTCCTACCCATCTTGAATATGTCCATAATTTTAAAATTATATTTTTAATTTCGAACACATGGCAACACTTATTGGGCATTCAAAAATGTAACTAATGAACCTTGAAAGTTGGAATGACTTTCTTTTAGCATGGAGAAAGTGAAAAAAATATAAACTTCTTACAAGTATCTAAAAAACATAAGCAAAGACTTCAGATTACTTACAAGCTTCTTTTCTTGCATCTATCCAAGAAAACCATGTTGATTCAGTGCCCGAAAAACTAATCTCTCTCCCATCCCAACACACTGCCTGGTATTAAATACAGGAAATGTGAAAATTTCTGTAGAGACATCAAATTCAGAACAGATACATAATCAGAGATGAACATATAACTATATAAAATGAATTGATCCACTAGGCAGAAATTACTTATTATTCATGTGGTCCGAAGATATAAGCCGAAAAATATCCATTGTTGGTGGCCAATTTGCTGCAAGCCTGAGGGGAAGAAAAAAGAAAAGAACTCATACAACTGGAAGACTCGTGTTACATTTGAAAAGGAACAAGAAAAGTCACTATCAACCAGGGACTCAATAGTTAACAAACAATTAATCCCACGATCAGTTTCAGACTAGGTCATCCATTTTAAATGCATTAGAAGAAATATCAGGAAAAATGTTTTAAAGGCATAAGTAACTTGCACCTTTTTATCGACTATCAAGAATATCAGGATTCTAGTACTATAAGAAAGATAACTTGAAACAAATTCTCAAATGTTAGTGACACTCCCTAGACTTACGTTTCAGAAGCCGACACGCTCCTGTAACCCTGCCACAAGTCAGTAAAACATCAGAATTGTGAAATGAGAAGTACTAGAATTTTTATGTAAGAAATGGAAAAAGACTAGATTACATCACATTACAATGCGACATATTGAAGTCGCAACGTAAGATTATAATCGTTAGAATAAAATAATTAAGTAAATTACACATGAAATGAGATAACAATAAGCCTCATATAACTCAAATGAAATTCTTTATCAACTATGTGAGAACATACTTCCAGTCTGGTGATAAACACAGGCTCACCACGTCTTTGCCCATATAAGTTTCCCTGTGGCATTTAGATCATTCAAGAAAATAGAAGTGATTGCATTAACAAATAATATACAACAAAGAAACAGATACTATTTTTTGCAGGCATTTAAAGAATATTTATTGATTTTAATATAGAAATTAGAGTGGGCATTTGCAGGAACTCAATTATCATCATAAGCAATTGTGATGTAAAATTATCGTAAACAATTCTGCTGGATTGAACAAGTTCAGGAAAATTATTCTATTGGGAGGCATGTGCCATACTCATTACGTGCTGTGTTGTACACTTCCATACTAAATAGGGGACTAAGAAGACATTGACAGACATGTGACACAAACACTACGCGACAGGTACGCCAATTCAGAAAATCTTATAGACCAAATAACATATGAACACTACATGGATATGCCAATAACAAATATTTATTTTTTATTGTATAAAAAAAAGAAGTTTTGGGTTTTGGCTTACTCAAACTGAGAGCCAAGATCTATATTTATATACAAGAATAGGGTACAAAGAAAGGAAACCAAATCAAAAAAAGACATAAAATATGCCAAAATCTACGGGATCCCGTGATTATGGGGATCTTATCTATGGGATCCCATAATTACAGGGATCTTATTTACGTGATCCCATGATTATAGGGATCTTACATAAAACGTCTAATAAAAGGCTAAAAACAGCTAATAAAAATAAAAATAAAAATAATAAAGATATTTCAACACTCCCCCTTAAGCTGGAGTGGAGATATCAATCCCAACTTGGTAATCGAGGAATGAAGCAAAGATGGACCAACAGATTTGGTGAACACATCGGCCGACTGATTAGAGGAACGAACAAAGCACAGCTTGATAATTCCCGAACGAACCTTCTCTCTAATAAAATAAATGTCCACCTCTATATGTTTAGTCCTCTCGTGAAGAACAGAATCTGAAGCAAGCATGATGGCTGACTTATTATCACAAAACAAGTCTGAGGACTGTTTTTCACCTAGCCCTAGCTCCTCCAAGAAAGATCGAAGCCAGAGAATCTCACAAGTACCCTGAGCCATGGCACGATACTCAGCCTCTGCTGAAGATCTCGAAACTACAGGTTGTTTCTTACTTTTCCAAGATATAAGATGGTCTCCATAGAAAGTACAGAAGCCAGATGTGGAACGTCTGTCAGTCTTGGACCCAGCATAGTCTGCATCACTGAAACAGGATAGCCCAACTTGCTTGCTAGAAGAATAGAATAATCCAAGTCCAGGACAAGACTTAAGATATTGAAGAATATGATATACTGCATCCATGTGAGCTGTATGAGGAGCATGCATAAACTGGCTCACAACACTAACCGCAAAAGCCAAATCAGGACGTGTGTTGGTAAGATAAATCAATCTTCCTACCAAGCGCTGATACTTTGGTAAGATAAATCAATCTTCCTACCAAGCGCTGATACTGCGAGGGATCAGAAAGGAGATCTCCAGACTCAGTCGAGATCTTCAGATTAGGATCCATAGGAGTGGAAGCAGGTTTACACCCAAGCATACCCGTGTCTCGAAGAAGATCCAACACATACTTCCTTTGCGATAAAGAGATACCCTGCTTAGATCTAGCAACCTCAATTCCCAAGAAATATCTGAGCTGCCCAAGGTTTTTCACATCAAAAGTTTTAGCC